GGTGTATTTTTAAAGAACTTTGTTGATGTATAATAGACATACAGTAAACTGCACATATTTAAAATATACGATTTGATCAGTTTTAACACTTTTGTACACCCCTGAAGCACTGATTCCAGTGAGGTTAACGACAATTTCCATCACTGTCAAAGCTTCCCAGTGCCCGGTTTGAGCATCACTTTACTGCTCTTCCATGCCCATCCCTGGGCAACCATTAATCTACCTGTATCACAGATTACTTTGCATTTTTTATAATTTTATATACATAAAATCACATGGAGTTTCGTCTTTTTTTCTGGCCTTTTTTCTCCAACATAATTACTTCCATATGTATCTATATAGTTTGTGTAATAATATTTCTTCTCTTTTTATTGTTAAGTAGTAGTCCATTGCATGACTATAGCAAAATTTATGTATTTATTTACCTGTTGATGAGCACCTGAGTAGTTTCCAGGTTTTGACAATCAGAAATAAATAGAATATTTGTACAACAATATTTGCATCTACATATGCTTACATTTCTATTTGGTCTAAAATCAATGACTTCAGCATCCACCTTAAGATGCAGAAAAAGAAAAGCAAATAAAATATGTAATGAGCAGATGAAGAAAAATAATGAAGATCAGAGCAGAAATTAATGAAATCAAAGCTAAAAAAATGAGTAAAAATTAATAAAGATAAAATCCATTTTTTCAGAAGATAATAAAATAGTAAACTTCTAGTAGACAGATCAGTGAAAGGTGATACCAAAACACACACACACACATATATAAAACTTCACCAATGAAGAATGTCTGCTCTTCCAAAAATATTGTTGAGAATGAAAAGAGAAGACTCAGACTAAGAGAAAATGTTTGCAACTAATAATTCTGATAAAAGCTTATATCCAGAATATACAAAGAACTCTCAAAACTTGATAAAAACAAAACCAAAAACTTCAAGTAAAACACTAGTAAAGGGGAAGGGTGTAGCTCAAGTGGAAGAGTGCATGCTTAGCATGCCCAAGGTGCTGGGTTCAATCTCCAGTACCGCCTCCAAAAATAAACAAATAAATCTAATCACCCCACACACCAAAAAAAAAAAAAAAAGCTAAAAAAAAGTAAATAAATAAAGTCACCTAGAATATGTAAAGAAAAACAAATTTTAAAAATATAAATAAAATAAAAAAAAATACTAGCAAAAGATTTGAACAGTCATTTCGCCAAAGAAGACATGTAGGTGGGAAATAAGTACATGAAAAGATACTGAACATCATTAGTCACTAAGGAAATGCAAAGAAAACCACAGCAAGAGATAATTACATATCTATTAGAACGTCTAAAGTTAAAAAGATTAGCCACATAAAGTGTTGGTGAGGATGTGGAGGAACAGGGCCCCTCATAAACTGTTGGTGGGAATATAAGACGGTGCAGCCACTTTGGAAAACAGTTTGTTAGTTTCTCAGGAAGCTTAGCATACATCTACTAAATGACCCAGCCATCCCACTCCTAAATACTTTCCAAAACACAACTTTAAATCTGCAAATTTGAATAACCCAAGGTCTGGAAGGAGCTTTAAGTTCATGGTTTAATTTCCTTCCCAAGAATGTGTTATTCAGATGTCTGATGTAGATAAAACACTGTCATTTCTGTCAACGTGAAGTTTCCTTTGCTGACTGGAAAGCATATGCACCTTTAGGTTGGAATATCATTTTATATGTTCCCTAAGCCACAACATTATTTGAAGAGCATCCTTCATTCATTCAACATTTATTAAACACCTATTCTGAGTAGTAAATTTTTCCTCCACCATGATTATGTGCAGTCCTTAACAAAAGCTCTAAACAAAATAATTCTTATTAATTTGATTACACTGAAAAGCCCCTTTCAGTATACCATTGTTTTACATATTTATAAAAGGTCTATTCCTAATTATCTAAAATCTCTTCATAGCTCAACTACATTCTGATCATTTTTTGGCCTAGTTCAGTTCTTCCATTATGATCTCTGATTCATATCTTCCCAGTGAAAAAACTATTTTTAATTAAGTACATCTTCATTTTACAGTCTTCCAGACAAAATTTTAGCAAGCAGGAACCTGACTGATATTTCAAATCTGAAGACAAACTTGATGCTTGTTTCCTTGTATAAACTTCTTTCCGGACATGCGCAGCAGCTGGGTTCACAGATCGGCAGATGAGATATGAGAACCACATTGGGTCCAGCCTCTATCACGAGATCAGAGAAAATCAGTTTTCTCTCCAGTAAAAACAGAGCAACTTGTTTTCAATTCTCGCAGCTCCCAGCAAGCCCTGGTGTTTCCCTTTGGTCTGTGAAGCCATTCAGTCTCACCCTCTCCTGCTGTCGTGACAGCCTTTGTCTCTGCCCCAGCAGCACAAAGACCAAAGGAAAAAGGGACTGTTAGCAGCTTTTCTTGCATTGGGGAAGATAGACATGATTTCACAGTAAGAAGAGGTATCTGATCTTTTAAGCCCCCTTTGTTTCCTCTCTCCAAGTTTTACATCCCTTTTTATCTGTAAATATAAAAAAAAAAGTTGTACATACATTTTCAAAATACGCTGCATAATACAACTTCATACATTTAGGAAGCTGACAGCTGCCCTCTGAGGTATAGCCTGACAGCCTAAATCCAGAAATCAATCATTTAGATAAAGTGATGCTATGCTATTTCTCCCGGTATGTACTGCGGCACCCAGGAATCACTTATTTGAGATATGCTGTCGTGACTCAGATAGATTAAAGCACCACATTCAGGAAACAGTTGTGTTGGGGTGGGTGGGGGGGATGCTTTCATAGATCTGCCATGTTACACAGCCCAGAATCCAGCAGCCAACCGGGCAAGTCTGTGCTGAATTGGAGCTTCCAGAAACCTGTGAAGCAGCAGGATGACAGTTCTGTTCTTCAACAGCCCATTATGAACTAATTAGCATACATGAATTGCAGATTTGAAGCATTAAAGTGATGTACAAATCATTAATTTTTTGTCAAATCCATGTCATCCTTGTGTATGCCTTCCTATTTTAATGTTGCATGACAGTGGGAAGAGGCGCAATGCTCTGTATAGAAAGAGGAGAGATTTGGTGTAGCTGATATAATGAGATCTATTTAAACACTATGTATTTTTCAGCTCTGAATATATCTACTTGGAAAAATGCTACACTTGTCCCATTAGGGTTAATTGTGAAAGGATGTTAATATATTCAAAACCCCAGGGGTAGTTCTACATGTTGTCTGAATGAAACAGGAGATGTAAGACCAACTTCACATTTAAGCTTTCTTTTTAAAAAGTCCTCTTTTTGATGAATATAAAGAGCCATAAAATCTTTCTCCCTGACTATGGAAGGTGTGACTACTTAGAATGGGAGCTGAGCTTTCAGGTGTGTGAGGGCTCCAACACAGCAGATCCATTCTTATTAACCCAATGCCACACTTAATTTATAAAGATGTATAATGCTAAGCAAGGAAAAGTGGAAACAACATCAAAGCCAATTTCCATACTGGAAAAGGCTTCTAAATATTAATGTGTGATTTTTTTTGTATTGTCTCTGTGTATTTAATTACTAATGCTATTTGTGCTTAAACAAATGCTTGGTGTTTCATTTGAATTTCTTTTTCTTATTACAGTGGAGTCATAATGTTTAATTTGTTAGTCCTGTAATAGTTGTCATAGTAACAGATTAATGTTATATATAAATATGTATGTGGTATGTATATATGTGCATAGTGCAAATATATAGTATAGATGATCATGACTTGATACCAAGGGCAAATTTCAGAAGACTTAGCTCTCAAGGAAAACCCTAATTAAAATGCAGTTATACTTTGTGGCCCTTAAGATATGGTCAGAAACTCAGGTCTCTGTTTCACTTGGGAAAAATGCAAGCTCTGAGGAAGGGGGAGATGTTTGTCTTCTCTCTTCTCGTGGCTTCTCTTCTGCCTGAGAGCAGAGTCATCCACGCCTGGGGTTACACGCTATAGACCTGTATCTTCTTCCTACTCCTTTCCCCAATAACTTTTTTTTAACCTTAAGAAGTCTAGATAAAATGAAAACCGGGCAGATCCTTTTCCAAAACACAAGAAGGCGGAGGGATGCACTGAGGAAGGAGTAGGAGGGTGTGAGGTGAATTCTTCCATTTGTATTGGTGAGAGAGAGGGGACTTCATAATAATGAAAAACACATACGGAACACTTGAGTTAGGCATTTCACACAACTCCCAGTAAATATTTAAGGTAGATTAGTATGGCCTTCAATTTAGAAATAAGGAAGCTGAGGCTCAGAGTGGAGGAGTAAACATTGTCATGAAGATTAGATTTGCCAAAGTTTCTATTCTTCGTATAATGCCCCGTTACTACCCTGAGGCCCACTTTAGTGCAAAATATCACTCCTTCCAGACTAATCAACATCACACCTGGTGCTCTATACAGTTGAAGCTGGTCAATGACAATGATATGCCTTATGCTGGAGATAACTTTGGTAGTAAAGAAAGAATAAAGCTGATTGAAGGAGAAAATAGCATGCCCACTTCTATCAGTTGGTATTCTTTTCAGCTTCATGTAACAACAACAACAATAATAAAACGACTGCAGTTTAACTAAATAGAGGTTTATTTTTCATAAATCATCACAAATCCAGAGATAGGCAAGCTTAGGATGGTATGGAGGTGCTACAATGCCATCAGGGACTTGGCAGTTAAGCAGTTGTTCATCTTTTTACTGTGTCATCCTTAGCATGAGACTATAATCTTCATGCTCATAAGATGGCTGCTGCTACACCAGACATCACAACTGCATTCCAGACTGGAAGAAGAGAAATGAATAAAGGGTATATGTATGAACCAATAGAGCTCATCTCTCTGTCTCTGTCTCTGTCTCTATGTCTATCTGTCTGTCTCATTTGGGTGAGGAAAATCACAATTTCAATATCTGATGCCATATGTTGTGCTTTGATTCATTGTTTCCTTGGTATTAGCCAGCGATGTAGCAGAACTTCTGGGAACTGTGCAAAATATAGAACACTTTACAAATATGCATGTTATCCTTGCACAAAGGCCATGCTAATCTTCTCTGTATTGTTCCAATTTTAGTATATGGTCTGCTAAAGCAAGCACAAACTTGTATCTTTTCAGTGATAAACAATAATTCTTCAGGAAGCCCTAACGAAAAAATGGTGCTTACTTATATGTCATTGGCCAACCCATAGAGGCAAGGAAGTCTATGGAAGTTAATCATTTTAACTGAGCCTAATGTTGCTCTTAGTAAAATGGGAGTTCCATTAGTATGTAATAAAAAATGGTTACTGGGCAGGCAATGAGCAACGGTCTTCTGTGGTAGATGTTTCCATGTGACTTCATCAAGAGTACACACCAATGTAGAGAAAGATGCCCTTTGTATCAGGGGAAAATACTAAGTGTGTATTCTGGCACACGCTTAAACATCATCTTGAATCTCATTCATTTCCTTGCTATTTCTTGAATTCCCAGTTTCCATTCTCCGCTCCTCCTCTATTTACTCCTTCTAAGTTGTGGTATTGATTAGCTTGCCTTATTGGTATTTTACCTTTGGCTTGTTTGCTTGGTGCCTTAACTATCCTAGTAAGATGGTGGCAATGTTCACAGTTTAAAGGATTGAATTTTTTAGAAGCTGTATAGTGGATGGTCAGCAGCTAAGGAATCACACAGATCTGGGTTAAAGTGACTCTAAGCAAGTTACTTAACTTCCCTGAGCTTTGGTTTCCTCATCTGATAAACAGAGATAATAAAAATACCTTCTTCAGAGGGCTTCTAGAGGGAAGAAATGAGTCAATGCACATGAAACACCTAGAGGAACATGACACACAGCAAGCATTTGACCAATGTCAACTATTATTATTGTGAATTGAGTCGACCTGGATTCAAATCATGGATCTGCCATTTTCTTGGACAAGTTACCAAAAGCCTTTGATTCTCAGTCTCCTTATGTGGACGTGGGTACTGGGTAATGTTAGAGATGGTACGTATGTAAAGTACGTGGTGAAGTGACTGGTGATGAGTAGGAACGGCACGCAGTACGAGTTGCCTGTCACTGTCCGTGCCCCTTCTCCCTTCCTATCAGAATTTTGTTTTGTTCAGGATGGTGATATGCCCTACTGAAATTATGCCCTTCCCCAACTCCCTTGCAGCTAGGGGATGACAAAGTTCCAATCAATGTCATGGAAGCAGAATTCCCTGGAGAGAGATTTCCTTCCTGAGTAAAAAGGCAAAAGCTTATTTTGTGAAAGCACTTTGCTCTCTAGGCTTCTCCACTGTGTGCCTGCCGGCGCTGCAGCCACCCTGAAAGCGCGGGGACCAAGGCCACAAGTGAACGATGCCGGAGCAGGAAGGGAGGCTCTGGCTCCCTGGTAGCATTGTGGCAGCCCTGCACTAGCTTAGGATTGCCCGACTTATATGAAAAGGAAAACAGTGGTTTGAGCTAAAATTCCTTGAGTTTTACTTAAGTGCAGCCAAACACAATCCAAGGAGACACTGTTTTTTGCCGTGTGGAAGCTGTATTAACAACCATGTGTCATTGTCGTCATCGTCATCACCTCTGTCATCACCTCTGATATGGCCACAGGATATTCCTATCTGTGCTCTGTTCTTACGGGCGGTTACCGAAGGGGTTGATTGTGGCCCCATGGAAGTAGTCCGCAGGAAAAATTAGTCTGCAGGAAGTACTGATCAGTACTCCTCAGGGCTTCTGTTCCCTGAGGGGAAGTGGAGAAATCTTTACTGCCTCTGGGATTTGGAAACAAGGACCATGTAATAGTCAGAACAGACCATAGGGGCCTGAGGGGACTGCTAGCCCAGGAGAGCCCTGTGAACTGAATCCCACTGAACCCCTTTGGGTCTGGAGTCTGGAGATCTATGAGTTTATTACCCTCTAGTTGCCCACAGGCACCTGGGTGACATTGAGAATATCTAGCATGGGGCTAAAAAGACGTCAATGCTGAGTGAAGGGTAATGATGCAAAGATTATTTTGTGGGCAGTGGTAATCACCAATAATTAGAGATAATTAGGCATAACTATGTCCCACACAACCTCTTCACCAGTTTAGACTGAAAGAAATCTCTGACCAAATTTGTCTGTGTATAAAGTTACACGTTAAACAGTTACTAGAAGGCAGGCACAAAACAACTCATACAAAGTAATCTGTAAGCTTGATGAAATTCCAGCTCTTGAGTTTTTAGGTAGTCTAACCACACCCATGCAGGCACTGTTCACTTGAGGCAGATATGATCGTATTCTAGATGCAGAGTTCCCGTAACCTCATGGTAGGCATCAGGCCACTGGCAGACTGAGAACTGAGTCAATGGCCGGACCCAAGACAATCTAGGAA